TTGATTAACTGAGGAAATAATTGTTGATATCTCAGTTCCCATGTCTGTAAAATGGCAGTGATAATTCTATCCACTTCCTAGTGTTGCTACAAGTACTAAAGACTTAATGTATGTAACATGCGTAGTACATAGTAAACACTACATATATATTTTTTAAAAACCACAGATAGATGGCATGTGCATTTAGTGATACCACTGATTTAACTAAGCACAGTTTGAAGGTTTCTATAGAGTTAAACTTTAGCATAGCTAACATGGCTAGATCAGAAGGAAACTTAATTAGTAGATCTTCATCTATTAAAACTGACGTTAACAAAGTGAAGTGTTGAACTCTAGAAGTTGCTTGTAGCCATATCATTCTTACATTATTTTCTGTGTAACTTAGTTAAGAGTAGGAAAAAAAGAAATTTATTTAAGCAATAGAAAGGGAGGGGAGCTAAGAGAATCCTAGTGTGCAAGAGCTAAGACAGAAAGTGACTTCTGGAGAATCTGAGATAGTTCAAAATAGAGTTGATGACAAAATAAGTGGCTACTGATAAAGCTGGGCAGAAAAATGGGCACACCTGAATTTGTTGGCCCTGCCAGGGAAGATGGTTTGGTTTTTTCTTTTTGTAGTCGTGGGAATTGAATCTAAGACCTTCATACTGAGTTATATCCCCAGCCCTCCCCTTGTTCAAAATTTTGGAACAGTGTCTTGGTAAGTTGCCCGAATTGGGCTTGAATTTATGATCTTTTTGCCTTACTCTCCCTGGGTGCTAGGGAAATGAATTTTTAATCCTGAAATTTGGTAAATGTTGTCTAAGTTCATAGAAGTGGTGATAAAAAAGTAGAGAGAATTAAGAGATCATTAGGAGGTATAATTCTCAGAAACTGGAGATTACTTTGCTTATTGGATAAAGGTGGGAGTTCAGGATGAGTCCCTGGCAACTGTATTTGTCAGTGTCATAGAATGAGGTGCTATCACAGAAAGGGAGGCCATGATTGGGACAAGGAAACAAAGGCGATGTATCTGATTTTGGATAGGCTGAGTTTGAGGTGCCTGTGGAATATGTAAATGGAGGTACCAAGTAGGGCACTTGAAAACATGCAGCTGGAGGTCTGAAGAGACTATGTCAGAGCTCCAGATATGGGAGTTATCAGTACATACCAATGTGAGTTGGAGCCACTAGCCCAGATGAACTCTTACAAGGAGTGAAATATAGAATGAGAAGAGGAGAAAGGAGACAGATCCCCCCAGGAATATTAACTGCTGAGAGGTTGTCAGGAAAAGGACCCTGTGAAGGAATTTGAGAAGGCATGGCTTGAGACAGATATAGCTAAGTACAGAAACCAAGGACAGTGTTTCAAGAGACCAGTGGGGACCAATGACAGACACTTCTGCAAGGCCAAATGAGATAAGGGCTGAAAAAAGGAGCAACTGTATTCAGCAGCCATTAAAATAGAGCAATAGAGCTAGCTAGGCTTTCAAGTTTCTTAGAATTTACTGGGATTGACTGGGAACTGGGCTTAACAAATAAATGGGAAAATAATAGAAATGTGGGAACATATAGATTGTGCTAGAAGCATGTATACATGTAAGAGTTTCTGAGTCTCATTCTGTATCATAATTGCAAAAAAGCATGTACTGTAAATATGTATTTATACAAATTAAAAATGTTAAAACTCTTCAAGAAAAGTACAGAAAAGCAAAAGTGGAATTTAACAAGGTTGTATAAGGAAGAGGGAAACATTTGGCTTGGTGGAAGATGATCCCACAGGAGAAATTGATTCCATTTCTATAAAGTTTTATGGGATTTTTCTAAATTTTCTTCTCATGTTTCATGTATTCAAGGTAAGTTTCAAAACTGAGGTTATGTTAGAGAGCAATATATGATATATGTGACATGTTGGGTTCGTTGATATATGACATACAAGTGTTTTCTTCCTATAGCCATTGTCCGTTTGCTTTACTGTGTATATCGTGTTCAGGCTTAAGGGTTTGGGGTTTTATTTGTTGCTTATTTTTACATAAGAATAAAAAAATTTACTGAGGTAAGGATCTTAGTCATACCATGCTCTAGCATGGTATGCTTTATTTTTTTAGGGTAAGAATATTAAATCCTTCATTTTATAAATGAAGTGGCTCAAGCTAAAGAAGTTAATTTTCCTAATGTCACAATGAAGCCCAACTCTTTCTAACATGTTATTAGGTTGTCTCTTCCCTTTGTAATTCTTCATATTTTGAAAATGTTGGCAAATTCCCATTTCTTCTTGCTAATAGGTTTCTGATATTTCTTCATTCAAATACTGAACAATATACTCAGATTAAGAATCTTTGCACGTAATACTCCTCTGAAAGAAAATGAACTTCAGAGTTCTTTACCTGATAATGCTGTGAGTAATTAGGATAATTATTGTTACTGCCACCATCACCACTGTTAATATCACATGGGCAAGACCATGCAGGCTCCCGTCAAGCAAAGATAAGTCCTTTCCAGGTGATTTTTATAAAATGACCTTACTAGAAAAAGTACATCTGTATGCTGAAATCTCAGTGGTCCAAGAAGATATATATTTATTCTTCAGATCAAGTATACTGATATTTAAAATTCTATTAACAGGAAGTGAGGTCTTTAATTTCATAAGGGGGATGAGACTTAAAGAATACATATCTCTTAAAAGAGGATGATTTGATGAATAAAATGAACTCCAAGATATAAATTGCTGTTCTAATTAGATATGGATGGCAGAGAATAGGTAGCAGTCAGAAGTCAACTTATGTATGAAGATTCAACAGTTAGAGGATAATCACAAAATGAGTGAGAGGCAGAGGTAACCAAAGTGTGCAGCTTCATACCTTGGTTTAAGCACATTCCGTATCAGGGCTAATATGCCTATGATCTTTTCTCCCTGCACTTTCTAGAAAGTATGTAGGTAGTTTTTCTCTTTAATTCTGAAACAATAGATATTGCTTTCTTCAAAATCTTGTCTCTGGCTTCTCTCTATGTATTTATTATGCAGTTCCTACTTGTTGACACATGCTTCAGTGTGTTTGTCTTTTTTTTTTTCAGTGTGTTTAACTTTATTGATGGTTTTAAATTATAAATGCCTTGAGGCCAAGATCTAACTACCTTGCTTACTATAGCAGAATACTATTGGTACTTATCTGCTACACAAATAATACATGTCACCTGATGTAGTATGTGAAAATTAGGAGTATTTTTCCTTTGATTAGCTCCCAAAGATATCCTATAGGTTGGGAATATAATGATACCATTCTAATCACCTTCAAATAAATAAACTCAAGGAAAAAAAACAAAACAAAAGAGGCCAGGGAAAAGCCCAGGTGGTTGAGACAACTGTTGTGGTGATCCAAACTCCTTTTGAGTAGGAGACAGGATTTTTTTTTTTAAATAATTGATAGACCATAGTTATTTTAGGTCTCTGGAACTTTATTTATTTTGGTACCGGGCATTGAACTCAGGTCCCTGTGCTTGTGAGGTGGGTGCTGGAACCACTGAGCTAAATCCCTGACTCAGACATAGGATGTTTTAAAACTTAATCTCTTGAGCTGAACAGTATAGACATTGTCTATTTAAAACGTTTTCCATTTCTGTCATCTTTGATGCTCATATTTTGTATATTTCTTTTTGAATAATGAACACTCTTATTTATTCTTTTGACATTTCCTTTCTTGGTGATTAATTAAAATTTTTCATTGGAAATGCCCCTGAATGGAAGTCACCTGAATAATGCAAGGGATGATTTTTTTTATCAGAACACATAAAAACAGTGTTTTTACATCTTTTTAAAACCTAGAGACACATTGATAGAATATTACCAGGTTTCCGACAAAGTACCCAGAGCTATATCTCAATTGATCTTGGTCAGATGAACTCAGCTACTAACGTTGATGATACAGGGAGAGATTTATTTGAGAGAGTGAAAAAGCAAGAAACTGTCTTGTTAGAGCTTTTCTTTTGTGATGCTACAAATTTGTCCAAGTGCAATTTTTAGTAATGGTGCCAAATAAGGCTTCCAAGGGAAACTCACATTGGATGTATTGACTATAATAAAGACTACATAATGGCCCCATTTTAAAGCATCCTGGCAGTTTTCCTTTTCTATTTTCTATTTCCCTCCGCCTTTTACTCTTTTTCTTATTTTTCCTGACCCATGTCTTCTCTCAAGTTGGTAAAGAAGATTTGTATTGAAAACATCCAGTACTAACCCTTGATGGGAAATGAGGTAAGAGGGCAGTTTAAGGCCGTTTAAGTGATATGAAAGTTTGCAAAAATTCAAGGATTTCAACTCCATTCAATGTTTGATACATTTTAGAGGAAAGGGTTCTTTAATAATTTTTAAAGGTCATTTTATTGTTAACATGGTCTCTTTTATGTTAGTCAAATATTGAATGAGGGTGGGAAATGTGTCGTTGTGAATTCAAATTAAATGTAATAACTGATCCTCAGTTTTTAGCCATATTTTAAAAGTAGAAATCAACTCATTAAATATTTCATGAACCCAGATTGCAACTTAATTTATAAAAATAAAGTTAAGAAAAGAATCAGAAATTTTATAATTTCGTAGAACCCCATTAACATCATGGAATTTAAGGCCTCCTTCAACAAGTATAATCTTTGGTACAGAGTGAAGAGATGAGATGAATGGTGAATCTTAAACATCAGAATAACTGACCTGGTTACAAGACATAATTTGCTGAGGATAGCATGTATTTTGTAATCAGGAAAAAGGAAAAAATAAGAGATAAGAGAAGATAAAATACAGAAGGTCATTTGGATCATCTAAAGAACGAAACTTTTCAAAGGAAAAATTATATCAAGACATTGCAAAATAAATTTATGAATGGAACAGCTGTGCTTTACTTCTAAAAGAGTCCATGGAGAATTTATTAGTATGCATCACATCTACAGGCTCAGAGTTTAATTACACAAAATTATTGAAAAGAAAAAAAAACTTTTGATGAAAGAGAAAAATAGTTGCTAACTGTATACCTTGAAGACTTTTCCACAAATTGAGTTGAAAACAGCTTTTCTTTTATATTCTCAGGCTGTGCTCCAGCAACAATCTCTACCTTTATGGAGAGAAAATACAATAAAGTGTGAGGGTAGCTGGCAACCCCCATTCCCACTCCATCCTGTCCTTGACACTGTTGTCTCCATGCTGAAGTCTTAGTCCGGAATCTACACCTCATAGTATGGAAATAAAATGTAGATGAAATTCATTCTATATTATCTGCCATTCAGAAAAGAAAGAGCATAAAATATCAAACCTATAACATTAAAATTCCACAACACAGTAAGAAGTGAAGCCTATGAATGACTTCACACTTCAAAAGATAGCAAAAAAATCAAATCTAGCTGTAGAACCCATTTGAGCTGTCCAGGATCCTGGCCACATTCAACTTCATTTGTGGCCTGTTGTCTCCTTATCTGTCTCCCTTCAAAGCAGAAATCATCTTTGCCTTTAACATTCCCTCGAAAGTGCTGACATCTCTTACAAATTGCTTTAGAACACTTGCATAACTTCTTATGCATTCTGACCTAAGGAAATATACATACATGTAGTTTTCTCTTTCCCTCAACCCATCATCGAGGATAGGGAGCCTAGAACCCACTGGTTTAAGAACATGTACTGATGAACTTGGAAAGATTTAAGATGATTCTTTTTTTTTTTTTTGTACCAGGGACCAAACTCAGACCTTCATGCTTGCCAGGAAGGTGCTGTGCCACTGAGCTAACTCCCTGGCCCAAGGTGATTTCTTTTTTTAAGGACAAAATAATTTATTTACATTTAAAATTTATTTCTCATATTGGACTTTTTAAATAAAAATATCCATTATTTCATAACTTTGTGCCACAGTGACTTCTAATGTAGTTAGTTATTAAGAGATAAGGCAAGACAACACACTCATTGGAACACTATTAATGTGAAAAGGTGAATCTAACCATAACCTGGTCAGTATTTGTCACATATACATTGTCAATCTAAAACAAATACTGTTAAGGTAAAGTCAGTTGGATTTTACCATAACCTAGTCTGGTCAACGGAGATATTACTACAATGCATTATGATTAAAATATAGCACAAAAGAAACTTAAGACAAACCCTGAAAATCTGTTAAATAATAATATCTAATTTTCCAATGCAATTTAATATCTAGCATTCATCTTTCCTTTGCAGTAATAAAGGCTCAAAAATCCTCATATTTATGTAATAAATATGATGGTTTATGATTAGACATTATTTTTGTTCTAGAGGTTTAGATTATTATTGAAAATATAAATCTATGTGGCTAATTTTCCAAAAAGCTGTTTTTAAAATCCAGGAAATTTATTCTTAAATAATGCAACTTCTGACCTGCTTAGTATTCAAAACCAAAAACTGAAATTCTGCCACCCTCTTTGCAGTCTATTGATTTGAGAACTACAGCTGCTGAAATTAAACTTTATTGTTAGCATAGAGCTTTCAGCTGAGGAAGCAATTTCAAATTGGTTTCTCTTCTAGCCCAGCTTAATATTAAGTAAATATATGCCTATAAGTGTCTCTAGCAGATTATTACCTAAAGTGGTGCACGCAACTTTGCAGGTGCAGCTCAAAGGCACTAAAATCTACTTTGGTGATGAATCTTCCTACCCAGCGGGTAAACATTATTGGTGAAACTGAATGCACAGTTATTCCCAGAGCTCTAAGAGTGCTTTCAAGTTAGACCTTTTTTTAGTTTAACATACTTTTAAAAAATTTAGTGCCCTTCATTATGGTCATACAATGGTGAAATGCCCACAATCTCCATCCTTGAGGAGCACCCTGTCCAAAAAGAAGAAGCAGATATTATAATATTGCATGGAAAGAAATAAGAGATTTACATGGCACGTGATGGAAAAGGCTTCTCAGTTGTATGGGAGAGGAGTGATTGTAGGGGCTGGGGAGGGTATCCCAGAGGAAATCAAGTAGAGATTGATGAAATGGATGTCTTTGCTTTATTTTTTTAAATAGCAAGTTCAATTTCCTGGTTCGAGAAATAGCTCCTATTCTCTAAAAATAATAAAATAATGTTCTGCCTGCTGGCACAAACACTAACTGAAATAGCGGAAATAATAACCCATCATTTTATAGACTTTCTGAAAGACAAGGGGAAAATGAAGAATAGAAAAATAATATGAAAAGCTATGAATTTTGAATAAAAAGATCAGTAAAGATATTATCTATTTTGATTTCAAATCTATAAACAGTGAAAGTTTGGACAATAGGGGAAAGAAAAACAATGTCTTCTCATGAATGCCCTATCTTTTAAAGAATACTGTGCTCTTCAAAGTTATGCCTTGAAATAGGATGAAGGAAACATGCAGAAATTTGTCTCAGAAGTCAATAAAATTTGATTTAGTTTGATATTTTGCCAATTTAAGCTTACACTTGAATTCTCCCAGATTTCTTTTCATAACAGAGAAGGGAGGCTTCTGTTCTAAGCAAATCAATCTCTACCCAGAAAACACTGCGACATGAATTTACCTGCTGTAATAAATTTTTGTCATAAAGAGATGAGACTGAGAGTTTAGAGTGAATCTTTCCTTAGCTATCACTTTTATCAGTTGACTGTGAAGAGCAAGGAGAGCTAATACACTCATGCACTGCATCTGTAAAACACAAAGTGATAATTTGTTGTTTTACCATGTGATTTGGACAAAAAAATTAATCTGAATAACTCAGTTCAAATGTATTTGAGAGGCTATGGTTTGGTTTCAGGAACCCAAACTTAACATGTAAATATGAAGGAGAAGAAAGGAAAATCACTCTGCTCTTATAGTCAGAGACATAGCTGCAAATGACAACACACCTGAGGAACCTTCATCTTTTAAAAAGAATCCATGAACCAAATCTTGTATATATACGTATTCAAATTCTTTGCAACCATCACCACCACCATCATCACAACTGACATTTACTCTGTGCCAAATTTTTTTCTAAATAATATAGTTTCATTTTTTATTATGTCTCTGCAGTAGCCCTCCATGAGAGATAGATTTCCTTATTTCATAGAATCTGAAACACCACAGGTTCTGAGACATTCATTATTTCATATACTGCTAAGAAAGTAAAACCATCAACTATTACTTGCTTTCCATTTTAAGACAAAAATGTGAAATAATGTGCACCTGAGATTCAATGAAATTTCATACAGTTGCCCTTATTACTCCTTACAGGAGCAGACTGTGCTTGCTTGGGAAGCACATACACAGAGGAGCGGACTAATGCTCAGAGGGGTTAGGGTAACTTTCCTAAGGTCACATTCAGGCAAGGAAAGAAAGTAGAGATGCTAAGGTATGCATCTGGGCCCAAACATCTGAAAATCAGATTCCCTGACCAGAATCACACTCTGTTTTTATGATCCAGAGCATTCTTGTATCTCAAACCCCTCATCTTTTGAAGCAGGATTTTTGGTTTTGAGCTAGATTCCTCCTTTCTTTCCCCCACCCCTCTGTCTCCAGTATCAGAGATTGAACTCAGGACCTTGTGCTTGCAAGGCAGGTGCAGCGCCAATGAGCTAAATCCCTGGCCCTGAGCTTTTATTTCTAAAAATCTCTTTCAGTGGTCATAGTTTCTAATTCTTTATTTTTAGTGCATATCTTTATCACCATGGAAATGAGAACAAACCCTGTGAAAGAAATCAGACTTGGAGGGGCCAGGGATTTAGCTCAGTGGCACCACTCCTGCCTCAAAAGCGCAAGGTCCTAAGTTCAATCCCTGGTACAAAAACTTTTTAAAATTAAATAATTTAAAAAAAAAAGAAATCAGACTTGGGATGGTGTGTACAGTGAAAGTGGCAATCCCTTCTGAGTCAGAAAGACCAGATTTCTCACACCGATGTCAGTTCCTCTCAGCTGTAGGACACTGGGTGAGATACTTAACCTCTTTAAATTAATTTATTTTATTTTATTTTATTTATTTATTTATTTTTGGTACCGGGGATTGAACTTGGGTCCTTGCCTTTGCAAGGCAGACCACCGAACCGCTTAAAAAAAATAAAGAAGGGCCGGGGATTTAGCTCAGTGGTTTGGTGGCCTGCCTTGCAAGCGTAAGGACCTGAGTTCAATCCCCGGTACCAAAAAAA